GGACAGGCGATCACCCGCGGATTCCTGTCTTCTCCTCCAGGGCCAGAGACCCTGCAGAATACTGGAGTCCCTGAAGAAGGAGGTGGGTGCTGGGACCCACTCGGCAGTGTGCAGGCTCCTGGGGTGGGGGTGGGGGTGGGCAGTGGCTTCTCTAGAGGTGCCCCGTGGCTGCAGGAGCCACCACATTAGAAGCCACTCACCCATTGGGGGCGTCTACCTCCACAGGTCTGGAGATGTGGCCTGCGGGTTTGGAGGTTGTGGGGCTAGAGGCAAGGGGATACCTCTGGTGTCTGTAAGTTGTGTGAAGGGGCAGATGCGGTATGAGGATCACCTAGGTGGGGGGCATAGCTTAAAATGTCTGGGACCCTGTTTTGTGGAGAAAAGTTGTGTGGGTCTTAGTGATCTTAAAGGAGGGACAAGCTCTTGGGGACAGGCAGGTCTGTTGTGGGGGTGATGTTGAAAGAGGTTGCCCAAAGGATCCTAGCTTGCAGCAAAGGGGAGAGGTTCAGTTTGAGGACATAAAGATTCTCTCAGGCACCTCCACATTCTCAGTCCTTGGAGTGATCTCCAGGAGACAGGAGGCCCTCTCCTGAGTGTCTTCCCCCATTTCTAGCCACACAAGAGGATGACGGACATGTTTCTGCTGCTCCTCTGTCCTGGGCCCACCTGGAGCTTATTCTGGCTTCTGGATTCATAGCCAACCAACTCCCAGGTGCCTGTAGATGTAGGTAGTGTTTATAGTTGTGGGGGCTCAGGGTAGCATTCCCATGTCTGGACCCAGAGTGAGTGGGTGCACACACATGGCTGTGAGGACATGTGGCTGGAGTATGCATATATTAGAAAGTATGTGTATATATGTTTGTGTGTGAACTGTTTTTGTGAGTCAGTATTTCTTTGATTCATGACGAGTATGTGTGAATGAATAAGGCTATGATTATGTGTGTATATGTGTGTGTGTGTCATGCGTGTATAACCATTGCCTTGTCAGCCCCCCATCACTCAGTCTGGCATCACCCTGCAGGCATTTTTGCATCTTACAAGTGGTCAGCCCAAGATGATGCATGGTTGTATGTGCATGTGTGTGTGTATGTGTGTATTAGGGGTTGAAGCATGTAGTGGCAGAACCAAATACAACTAGGAATCCCCTCCCTGTGGAGGCAGACAGCCCTCTAGGGCAGCCTGGAGACTGGGATCTGTTGCTGCCCTCTGCACAGGGAGCATGGGTGTGTATGTGTTGTTTGTATGTGTCTCTGTGTGTGGATTTTACCCTTTTATTTTATGAATCAGCTCCAGGATTGGTTGTACATTCTAGTGTTTTCCAATAAGGAACTTTGCAAGGTATCCAGGATCCCTTGGAATGGCCTAGAGGTTTTCTGATTACCCCTGTTTTATAAGGAAATTGCAGGTTGTTTGAATTCAGAGGGGCAGAATTGAGAAATGGCAGGCAGGAGAGTGTCAGCAAAGCTTCTGGGAGGGCTCTGGCTCAGGTCCTGGTTCTAGCTTTGCCACCAGCTCTCTCAGATCTGTGTCCCAGTTTCTTCTCTTCTCTAGGACTCAATTTTCACATGCAGGATGCAATTGTCCTAATGTCCCAATACAGTTCTTCTCAGTGTAGCTTGGTTTAGAGGACAGGCTATGGTGCATGCATTGCACATAGTGACCAGAAGTCTGGGACTCTTTCCTGTGGTCGGACAGGTTTGGGGTTGGAATGAGCCTTCTGTTTGGCTATAGACTGAGGCCTACTCATGCTCAGAGAGATCTGTAGTTGCCCTGCTTGGTGCCTGGGAGGGTCAGGGGCCTAACCTTGCTACATTGGACAGATCTGTTGAACTCTAGATCTGGAATCATCACCAAGTTGCATATTGGTGGTGCTTTCTAAATTCTGCATTGCTGGGGAATAAGAGTTTCCATTTACCAGTGAATAGTATGTACCATACTCTGAATGTACAGTAGGCTTATGAGGTGGGTAGTTTGAGGTTCAGAGGGGGCAATGACTTGATCAAGATCATCCAGTCAAGAATGGGAAAATTCAGGACTTACCATCCAGGTCTGACATCAGAGCCAAGCTTTTACTCACCCATTCATACCACAAATGCTTCCATCCCCTCCTACACAGTGCCACAAACTTGGAATGTGAGGGGACATATTTTGTGATATATAGATGGGAATCCTGAGAGAGTAAGCAATGATTGGAGGACACAGGGCCAGTGGAAGGGAACTGGTTCACATTTGCAATCTTTGAGCTCTCTTTTGAGCATGGGTTCCCCTAAAGGCTTGGTTTAAAAAAATAATATCTGTGTCCCCACAGCAGACCTCCTCCATTTTTTTTTTCCCTTTGTTCACTTTCTTGGCAAGGAACATCTCTTCCAATGTCAGAGAGCCAGTTTTCAGTGGGATAGATTTGAAAACACTTATTTAGAAATCTGAGCACCAAATCAGGTTTTCCCTTTCCCCTTCCTCTGGGTTCAGAGGAGCCATGTCCTTGACTGCCACAGCCTCACCATTTTTTTTTTTTTTTTTTTAACTTCTGAAAGGGGTGTCTTAATCAGCTTGCAAGCTTGGCCTGAGTCTCTGAAGCCACTAAGGAGTTTGTATAGGCTGCGAACCTGGAAAAGCTGTCCAGTGCTGACCTAGTAAGCCATCAGGTCCCAGGACCAATGAATCAGCACAGGGTACTTCAGCCAGAACTGGGTTCAAATCCTGGAGGCTCTTAAAAATAGTTTTAGAGGGTTTTGTGTCTGACATGAGCTTTGTACTATAGGTGCAGCAGTGAACCAGACAGGCTCAACCCCTGCCCTCCTGGTGCTGACATTCTCCTGGAAGAGAGACCCTGGCAGATTCTCAAGAATAATTATGACAGTAATTACAGAAGGCACTTGTCACCATAAGAGTACCAAACGTGGATAGTGGTGTAGTTTAGTGGTAGAGCATTTGCCTAGCATGCAAGAAGCCCTGGGTGACCATCACCTCCTCAGAAAAAGAAAGGAGACACAAAACAGAAACACAGGAAGAATTGCACATGAATAGAGGATCAGGGAAGGCTTCCCTGAGGGTGTGGTGTTGAAGAAGATGCTGGAAATGTAAGTAGGCTTTGTATGTGGAGGTGTCAAGTAGCTAGAGAAGAGAGAAATCCATTCCAGACAGGGAACTGTATGTGCCAGAGGCTTTGTTGTTTGGTGGAACATGGTGAATTTGATGGAACTGAAGAAGCTGGAGCAGAGAAGACAGAGAACCGTGTAGGCTGTAGAGGAAGCAGATTGTGTGGTCTTAGTCTAAGAGCAAAGGGGAAAGAATGGAGAGGATCCTGGGAATATGGAGGGAAGGGAGTGGAGCTGAGACTGATGGCTCTTTCATTGTACTTTCTTAGATAAGCCCTGTCTTTACCTTCTCAAGTATTAAGAGTGTGGGTTTATTCATAATGAGAGTGAAAATTACTTAGAAGGCTGGATAAACCACATTTCCCTGAGCTTTTCCAGGACAAGGTTGTAGCTTTTCTTTCTTCCCTATGTGCCACCAAGCTAAAGATGGAGCCTGGGTGACCTCAGCATGATTTCCTCTGTTTAAGTTCAGCAAGCTCTACCTTGGTTCTGTCCTGACTAGCACACACCCCTGACACCACTTAATTTTGTTTTGTTTCCCACAGTGAGTAGGGACTGGTTTCCCATTGCCATGACGACTGCCATTAAAGGAAGCAGCCAAGTGATGCCAGTTGATAATGGAATCAAAGTGAGTGCTGCCTTGTCTCCTGACTCTGGCTTGCCTGGGAGGCCTCTTAATTAGAAAGGAAAAGGCAGGGAGTTGAGGGAGGCAGAAGAGACCCATGGAGGAGGCAGGGAGATCAGGCAGGTTTTACAGGGGAAGGTGCTTTCAGTTCTGTGAACTGGGGGCTATTGAGAGGCATGTCACTGCAGAGCCATCTGCACAGCTGCCCAGTGAAGTGTGTTTGGAGAAGTGAGCCTCCTAGCCCAGGATAGGAGAGGTGGGGCAGTCCAAGAAAGCTGGAGGTACACGTTGCTTCCATGGGAGCTCCATGGTTTGGCTCTAAGCCAGTCTTTCTTCGTGAACCAGGGCAACAGCTTTGCCCCTCCCCCAGTGATAGCTTACCAGATAATATGCAGGTCACCCATTAAATTTGAATTTCAGAAAAGGGGTGAGTACATTTTTAGTATGTGTTGCTAAATATGGTAACCATACTCCAGAGCAAATTTGGCATTATCTGGAACATTTTGGTTTTCACAGCTGGGAATGCCCTGGCCCTAGGTCCTGTTCTCTACCAGGCATGGAGCTCACAACATCCGTCACTGTGCAAGACTCTTTCAATCTCAACCATATTATCAACAGGGTGTATCTAACCCTGAATGTTGTTAATACTGTCCCTTTACCAAAATGCTGGGGACCAGAAGTATTTCAGATGTTCTCTAGATTTTGGAATATTTGCATATACAAAATGAGATATCTTAGGGGTGGGCCCCAGAGCTACACATGAAATTCATTTATGCTTCATTTGCACCCTATTCCCATAGCCTGAGAATAACTTTATACCATATTCTTGTGAGCCTGCATTTAACTGTTGCATGAGGTCAGGTGTGGAATTCTCTACCCATGGCATCAAGTTGACATCAGAAAGTTTCAGACTTTTGATTCCTGGATTAGGGATGCTCAATCTGTACTGGTAAAATTGGAAAATCTGCTGTCAACTAATGCTAATGTACCCATGCCCACCATGCCTCTTCTAGCTAGTCCTGTGTGTATATCCTCCTCTTGAGTAACTCATTCTTACTTCTTTTAAATTGTTTATTATGCATGTTTGGGCTTCAGAGGAAAAGTGGGAGCTGTGTCGCTTAGCTGTGTTCTCTGGAACAAACTTATATGGTACTGTATTATTATTTCAATTCTATTTTGAAAGCCTAATGACATCTAAAGAGGAATATATATATATATATATATATATATATATATATATATATATATGTGTGTGTGTGTGTGTGTATATAAAATATATATAAAATAGACTTTTATTCAGGCATAAAGAAAAATGAAATTATGTCATTTGCAGGAAAATGGATGAAACATGAGAACATTATATTAAGCAAAATAAGCCAAGTATAGAAAAACAAGGGACATCTGTTTTATGTTTTATGTTGAAGCTACAGAGAAAAAAAAAAGATGATGTGGATCTCATGAACATGGAAGGTAGACCAGTAAATTAGATAAATGTGCCAGGGAAGAGGGACACTTAAGTGAAATATTGTGGAATGAAATTGGCCAAATCATATTGTTATATTATGTGCATGTTCAGAAATGTGAAAATCTCATTCTATGTATCATAGTAATGGACCAATAAAAATTTAAAAACATAGTTCAAAAAATAATGGGAAAAAACATACCAACTCTAAACCTGGTGACCTTTTATTCCTCATTCTGCCCAGCATGGTGATTTTCAGAAGAATTCACTGAGTTAAGGAGGGGATGCGAGCTTCTGGATGAAAACTTGGACGGTATGGACTCCTCACTGTGCCTTTGCTATTGCCATGTCTGCAAGGCCTTCTCTTGCACTCTCTGTGAGTTTCTTTCTCTCTCCTTCACTTTGTATATCATGAAGTGGCCTATTATCTTTGTCTTTTTTGTTTCTTCTCCAGAGTTAGTATTAAATTCAACTGAAGGAAAAAGCATATCATTTTGGTGAAGGATGTGTTGGGACAATTTGAAAGAAGTGGAAGCTAGTGTTCAGAGTGAAAACTTTTCATGGGAATGTAGGCTGCCCCCAGGATTTTGGAAGTTTGCATAAATAGACTTGACCTCTGGACTGGTAGCAGAGACTAGAAAGTAGAAGTGGTGGCATGTTCATTATCTAGGTGGAAGGCCAGAGACCAACCACAGGGCTGCAGCTTCTCTGTGAAAATTGTATGTTTTAGATGTGGCTGCCTGAGCTTCTGATTAGACATCTGGTTTGAGGTGATGGCAGGTAAGAATAGGGGAATAGACTTCTAATTATAATTTTTGCCATTTTAGAAAACTTGTGAACCATCTGCGGTTCCAACTTTCATTGTTTGAGGCATCAGATTGTGACGATGAGTTAGCTTTTATGGATTAATTCTAAGGAATTCACTGATTTTATTTAATAAATAAAATAAGTGCATTTATAGATTATAAGCACCATAAGACAGTGATAGATAAGGTGCTCTGAGATTTGAGTGTAGAGATCCCTTAAGTTTGGTTAGCATTGCCCAGATATACTTCATTGATAGGGATATATTACAGCCAGGTTGAACTTAGTAAGTGCTATATATTGAGCCTTTTTAGTACTTATTATGTTAAGTTTTTAAGATTCTAAATATTTTTATCATTTCTCAAACTACATTTTCTCCTATTTTTGTGTACTTCACAATATTACATGACTGGTATTATATAGTTCCTTATTTTCTACCTCATTTGTCATATTCATGGAGATTTTCATTTGAACTGTTCCAAAGGAGCAGACTTGTGTACTTGTAAAGGTTTGAGAAGAAACTGAGCACAGATGGTGTGCTTGATGAACTAAAAGTTCTGAAGAATGTGACATCAGGACCCTGTAGGGCACCATACTGCCTTTACCATCCAAGTACACCAAAGTTCTAAATTTCTAGGAGGGCAGAGGATGCTGCAGATTTCAGTTGGTGATGACTGAGCTGCTTCAGATAGGAAAAACTCTGAGGCTCTCCTGGAATGAGTGAGGAGCTATCCTGACTACAGACTGAACCTCTTGCCCCTGAGGATCCCCAGCAGTAGCACAAGGAAACTGTCTTGGCAATGGGAGAATTGAAATACCAGTGGAGTGGCTATGGAGTCGGAGAGCAGCACTTAGGGTGAGGGGATTCATTCTTCTGGTGAGCTGTTAACTGTTCTATGTTATTTAATCTAGAATTAGGTGTGGTTTCTTCTTAATTCATAAATATATTGTGCACAGCTGATTAATTTCCTCCAGAAAATTGAACGTCTTGTAATAATTCCTATTTTTAAAAGTTTGTATCTTTAAACAGCAAGGCATATGAAACCAATTACCCAGATTTTGTTCCTTGCATGGTGTGGCTCTTACTTAAAGCTCAAGTCCCATTTGTATGTTTTTTTCGTGTTGCCTTACCCATTCTTTACTCTTTGTGACTGAATTCATAATCAAAAATTTCTTTCTCGTTGATCTTTGTAAATAATAATAATGATGATGATAGTAATAATAAGCACAATATCTCTAGTTTTAAAAATACAGAGTTGTTTGAGGAGCAAGCTAATTGCTACTTCATGTTTCTAGGGGTGTCCTCTCTGGTTGGCCCACATGGTTTTTGGTCCTTTGCCAGGTGATGAAAAGTCAAAGAACAAGTTCATGTGAGAGAAGAAAAGTAGTGTATTTGAAACCTACATGTCCAAGGAGGCAGTTTCAGAAGGCTTAAAGAGAGCATTACTTATCCAGGTGAGTAAAAATACTGGTTTCTGTTCCCTGGATATGTGGAACTAAAGCAATTCATTGCTCACTTAACTGTTTTTTGTCTGTGCTTTCTGCTTTGAGATGATCACATAATTGAGATAAAAAGAGCTTAGAATTTTACATAGAGATAGGGTAAGAACAGTATTCTGCCATGGTAGTTCTTTTTGCTTTCTTTTAACATTTGCTTTTGAAGTGACTTTTTGCTGACATTCAAACAAAACAAAAATCTGATCAGTATAATAGCCGTCATTCCCAGGAATTGATAAGTGATTTTTCCTGGTCTGTGACATCATAAGACTCTGCAGCCAGAGCCTCCCCAACATGTGGGGACAGTTGTACTTTGTAGATGGGGAGAGGAATTGGTTCCAGATATGAGCTCACCCTGCGAAATGTAGAACACTATAAATAAGATTTTCAGGCATGGTGGTGCACACCTGTAATAACAGTGGTTTGGGAGGCTGAGGCAGGAAGTTTGTGAGTTCAAAACCAGCTTCAGCACCTGCGAGGTGCTAAGCAACACAGTGAGACCTTGTCTCTAAATAAAATGCAAAATAGGGAAATAAGGCTGGATATGTGATATGTGGTTGGATGCACCTGAGTTCACTCCCCAGTACCAAAAAAAAAAAAAAAAAAGATTTTCATAGAGAAACAGAGTCAATCTGCTTTTAGATATAAACTTTCTTTTGTAGTTCTGGTTGGGTGAGGTATAAAATAACTAGTTAAGAAAGGATATTTTAATGTTGTTGGAGAAAAATTAAGTATATCAGATATAATTTGAAACATTTATTCACTATTGTTTATCATGTTCTTCTTTTTCTTCTCACAATCCAGAGAAAATAAAGTTTCACTAAGAGATTTTGTGGTTTTCAAAAACAGAAATAAAGTAATATTTTTCAATGCCTTGACTAATAATCTGACATTTCATTGGTTTATCCTAAGTACAGACGAAAAGACTACAGTGACCAAAGAAATCTCTTTTCTGTATTTGGAACAAACCAGCAGTAACAGATGATTATGTACATGCAGTTTTGCAGTTGTTGTTTGGTTTTTAATAAATAGTTCTCACATCAAAGGACACATGGCATTTATTTCTTCACAGGTGCAGTATTGGGAAGTTGTTATAGAAGATGTTGGGAGAGATGAGAACCTGATAGCCATGTTCAGAAGGGGCTTCAGTTTGGGGCAATGACCAAGGAGAAGTGAGGAGGAAGATTGTAGAATTGGCTGTTTGAGATCCCAGAAGCACCATGTCAGAGTTCCTCCTGCAGTAGAATATTGGTATGAATTATTATTTATAATAATAATTATTATTATAAGAAATCCAAATCTAGGAAGACACAGTTCAGGATGGAGTAGTTTCTAGGACCCTTTATTAAGCATGAAGTCAGCTGGAAAATATGTGGGTGAACATAAAGGATGAGAAGAATAAAGGTGACATTACAGTGCAATGCCCAGTCATTCAGAAGGGAGAGGTGGCACTTATAGCATTAATAGCAGGGGCAATAGTAGAAGGTCAGCTCTATAGATAGTAATTAATTAGCTCAAGAAATGTTTCCTGACAACTTAGTAAACACACATATACCAGTGAGCAGGATAGGGGTAGTAGGCAGAAATAACTATAGTAATGCAAAAAAAAAATATATATATATATTTTTTTTGATCCAAAGGGTAAGAAGGATTCCTCCATTTTAAGCTTTTGGAGAGGAATATAGGCAGAGATCAGCAAGTGGAAATAGGGTTTATGTTTTGAGGAACAAGAAGGAAGGCTGTTGGAACAGAACTGAACAGAGGGAATTACTACATGGGAGTAGTGGAAGAGTTAGCATCCAAGTCATGGAGGGTCTCTAGGAGTTGAATTTTATTCAAAAAACAATGGGAAGTCATTGAAGGGTATTAAGGAGGAATAACATGATCTGTTTCATGTCTTAAAAACATCTCCCTGCCTATTGGGAGATGAATAGACTAGTGTACCACTTAGGAAGCCATTAAAGTAAACTAGGCAAGAACATTCAGAGACTTAAACAAGGGCAGTGGCAGTGAAAAGGGAGGTAAATAGGTGGATGTGGAGTGATTGCTGACAAGACCTTCTGACAGATTAAATGTGGAAAGTGAGGTAAAGGGAGGAAGCCAGGCTGGCTCAATGGATGATGCAGTCATGAACCAAGACAGGGAAGATGGAGGATTAGAACATGGTGCTCACCTGTGGGGAGGCAAGGAGGGCAGATGGATAAATGAGTGAAGAGGCCCTGGTGTGCACTGTAGCAAGCACATAGGCCTTGCAGTGGTTGAGTGCTGGGACTCTAGCCAGGCCACTTGGGCTTGAATGTAATGTGACAGTGGCAGATTACTGACCCTCTCAGTGCTTTAGTTCCCTCCATGCAAAAAAAGAACATCATAGTCTCTACTTCTTAGTTGTGAGGGTTAAATTAGTTCCTAGTGATAAAACTGCCAAATCAGTATGTGGCTCGGAGGACACCTATGGAAGTGGTACTTGAGATTGCTTTTATTGTTGTCAGAGGAGCATCTGTTACTCAGCTCAGGTGGTTGTTGCCATGTGGAGATAGCTGTACACAAACTGCTTGTAGATTTTAATAGTTTTTTAAGATAATCTGCAATACATATTTTTATGTATGAAATTCTTCAGCATGTTCTCAAACTTCCCATAAGTCAGATAAAACATGTTTGTGATTGCCAAGTTAGACAAATGGACCCAGTTATGTGGTATAGTACCATTTGGTTCCTCAGGCAGGCAGGGATGAGGAGGACAAGCTGGAGTCAGTTGAGGGAGGGCCTTCCTTGTTAAGTGTAATAGGAAGAGTGTACTCAAAGCTCAGGGTTTGTGAGGGTAAGAAATGATGGCAGGTAATGACAGCTAGTCAGTGAAAAAAGGAATTAACCATCATGGGAAGATAGCAAATAATAAAAATTTGGCCAGACTATCGCTTGGCGGTTTTAGTGAAACTGAAGGATTGTTGAAGTGGAGTTTCTACAGTGAGTGAGTTGGAAGGATAGAAGATTGTAATCAGAAAGAGTGATGTTTGGCTTGTATTTGGAAGTAGGGTTATTAGTGACGATGACAGAATACAAATGGTGTACATGGGAGAATGGCTGGGGTGGGTGGAGAAGGTACCTGGGATGATGGACTTGGGTTGCTCAGTCATTGATGTGCACGTGAAGGCCCCCCGAAATATATATGAGTGGGGATAGAGGGGTAGGCAGTGAGCTACCATCAACACACTAGTGAATTGGGGCTGTGGCTAGAAAGTTTGAAGAGGCAACAGTAAAGAAATGTACCAAAGAAATGACATGAACTTCAAAGGACCTGGAGTTTTATCAAAGTGAATGGAGTGAAAAATAAATTTAAAGCCATGTTATGGAAGTAAGGAGGAGACAGTCTTCTCCTGGTCCCTGAGAGCACTCAAGGAAAGTGGTGACATCAGGGGACAGCTAAGTTTGAAGTCAGTATGGAGTTGCAGGAGCATTAAGAGCAAAGATGGAAGATATAGTATCCTTACTGGTTAAATTTCAGTACTAGAGGAGGGTTTAGGAGACAGATGAGAGATGGAGGACTGGGTGAGTTTAGGAATGGTTAGAGAAACAGGAGAATAAGTCTTACACTTCTCCAGTTAAAACAGAGATTGCACTGGATATGTCTTCTAGGCAGATTTTTAAAAATTATTATTTTTAGAGTTACACAACACTAGAGTGTATTTTGACATGTTATATATTCATGGAGTACAACTTATTCTAATTAGGATCTCATTCTTTTACATGTATATGATGGGGAATTTCACTGGTGATTATGAACATAGGAAAGTTATGTCTGATTCATTGTACTCTCTTTTCTGTTCCCATCCACCCTTTCTTCCCATTATTCTGACGTAAAGTTTTTGACAGATTGTGCTACTAGCTTCTCTGCAGGCTGTAGGAACCACCTTGATCTGATATTGGATCCTGTTGGAACTTTCTCTTTATTATTGTGATCTGAACTCTTAGGGGTTCTGTTTTTAAGGTACAGTTCTTAATATTTTTGCTTCAATAAAATTTACAAATGTTATTTTTAACACAATTTCTAATCTTTCATTTGTACATATGAACTTATGGGATAGAGAATTATGAGTAAAATATTTAACATCTTTTTAATGTCTTTTAATAGAAACTCTATGTAAACTTGAGAAATATGTCCCTTTCCCCTAAGCCCAGCCTTGGCCTCTCTGAGTGCTCTGTAATTAAAGGCACAAGTAAAGGCACATTTAAGCAGGGGGTATTTTTTATTTCTTCATTTGCAAAGCATTCACTGAATTGGAATGGGTAATAAAATAATGGGAGATAAAAAAAATCCCTCAGGGTAGAGAAAAGTGCAACTGTTGAAAATGTAATTTCAGCAAACTGACTTTCATTTTTTTGGAATTCTTGTATAAATTAATATAATCCCCTTAAATTCTATAATCCCCTTAAATTCTTGTATAAATTACTGCTATCTGCATGAAACTTTAATATGAAGTTATATTCTTTATGACACAAGCCAAACAAAAATTCACAATTATTGGATTTAATGTCTTTCTAAGTTTCTAGTTATAGCAACACTTTAAATGAACTCTCCCATAATACGTCCATGTCTCTGTGTGTGTGCAGACAGTTGAAGAGCAGTTCCTTGTCATGCATCTCTGGAGAGTAGAAAGAGCTCTAGAGTTATGGCTTCCTCTGTTAGGTTGGAGCAGGAGAGGGATGGCTGCTTCTAAGGTCACACACTCACCCACTTAGCTAGGGTGGATGGAGGACAAATCAATCAAGGCTCCTCCCTGGTGCTCAACGTACTGAGGACATGCCATAGTCTCCTGGAATGTTAGGGCATTTTACTATACTTTTAAACAATTTAAAGAATTAACTCTCTACATTACTGGCTGCAAAAACTAAAAAGTATATTGATGTAGTGATTTACTATTTTCAAAGTACTTTTACACAGTGAATTTTTTTTTCTTGAAAATATTCTGTGAAGTCAAATTTCTTTACTTTCAGACCATTTGTGTTTTTAATTGTCATCCCAGTGTCCAGTCCCTTTGTCCGACCTCATCTAAGTGTCCTAACCCAATACAATTTGTCCTTACCATTCTTCAATCATTTAATACCTTGTTTTCATTAATATCCTGCTGTCCTGGCACTCCCAGCTTGGCACAAGGTTCATTCTGATAAAATATTCATTTATTCACTAATATACTAATTACTAATTAATACCTTGTGTTTATATTGGAACTTCCTATATAAACAGTGACCTACTCTACAGTAATTATTAGAGTAGAAATAGTAAAATGAGAGAAAAATAAATACATATTGAATAAAAGAAATGTGAGGGCTGGGGTTGTGGCTCAGCGCTCACCTAGCATGCATGAGGCATTGGGTTCAATCCTCAGCACCACATGAAAATGAAATAAAATGGTATTGTATCTACCTATAACTAAAAGTATATATTTAAAAAAAAAAGAAATATGAGATGAACTGTTGTTCGAATACCCAGGAGATCATGGCTTTCGACAGTAGCATAAGCACTTAGAAAATCGAAAATAGCTTTATAAAAGGCAGACTTCTCTCTTTTTATAATTCAGTTCATTTTTATGTGCCACTCTGGATCTTCCTGGAACTAAAACAAAGTGCAGAGTGAAAACTTTAAAAAGATCACTTAGTGTTAATCTGGGATTTATATCTGTATGGTGTCCTCGCTTGCCCAGCCTGTGCCTTGTGTTGAGCCACAGTCAAGCCTCAACTGCCACATCCTCATCTCTCTGAGAACGATTGGGTAGTGGTCTGAGTTTGGCTTTCATTTTCAATTTTTTTTCCTATTTAGTCTGGCAGCTCTTCCTGGAGTTTCCCAAAGCACTATTTCTTGACCCTTTTATACTATTGCCTTATATATATGCGTTATGCCTGGCATATGTTTACTTAAAGAGCCTCCCCATAAGTCAGAGAGGCAACAGGTACTGTAGAAAGAGAAGACCCAAAGGAGTAGTGTACCTGGCTTCAAGATGACTCTGGAGTACCTGGCACTCGGGTATGGGTCTGAAGCAACAAAGCTGAGGAGGGGACACCGTTTCTCCTGCAGCTGGCTGTCTTGCATTCTGCTGAAGTTTTCTTTCTTTGCATTGTTGGACCTGACCCCTGCAACGCCCCTGGCTTGCCTTTCTGGTCACCGTTGAAGATTTTGACCATGATGAGCTCGTACTCATAATGACTTGTTGAATTGTTTATATCTTTTGTTTGTTGCACACTTCATTGGCTTGCTTACCAACACCATCTAGATATGATTTTTTTTGTAACCAAAGCAGAACACATGTCAATATCCTGGGACTTTATATAGAGAGTGTGTACTGTTATATGAACCTAACCTACTTTGTTTTCTCATTAAGAATTGCAAATCTGGGCTGGGGATGTGGCTCAGGCGGTAGTGCGGCTCGTCTGGCATGCGTGCAGCCCGGGTTCGATCCCCAGCACCACATACCAACAAAGATGTTGTGTCCACCGAGAACTAAAAAATAAATATTAAAATTTCTCTCTCTCCTCTCTCACTCTCTCCCATTTAAAAAAAAAAAAGAATTGCAAATCTACTTTGTTTTAGTGGAGCTATTTTGGTAACATAAGTAATTTTAGTTCTATTCAGGGAGTGAATTTAAGGTTTTCATGAATCAGTTTGAGCTTTATTTCATATCAATGATAGATCTATTTTAGTTTATATAAATAAAACATTTCCTTTTTGTTTTACTGTATCTTCTTAAGCCTCCCCCAACTCCCTCCTTTCTGAAGAGAAAGAAAATCTGCTTTGATCCCTACGATTATGGATTTCTTTTTCCCTTGAAAGCAATGGCTAACTGAAAATGGTCACGGAGCAGTGTTCCAGAATGTACTTTCAGAATCAGTGTATTGGGCCTGAAGAAGTGAGGCTGTAGGTTTTGGGCTTTAGGCATTTGCAAGATTGAAGGGGAGAATATGAAGAGGGGGTAAGGTGAGGGAAGAGTGAACCTCTGTACCTGTTCTACCAGAGAAGATCCACTTAGTCCTGTTTTATGTTTTAAGATACAATATAAGATCATGTTTACAAGTGACAAAACAAGGTTCCACTTACCTGTAGAGAAAATAAAAAAAAAAAAAAAGGCTTAAAATCCATTACAAGAAGTCATATAGATAGTGATAGGGCTTTCTTTGCAGTTGCTGGACCTAACCCCTTCAGCTCACAAATAGGGGGAAAAAATCACTATATGTTTACTAAGTTCTGAGGATCATTATCTCACACACATACCACACTCCACAAAATAGGCAAAAACTGGTCCTTTCTCTCAGGGCAATCTACATTTAAATTTTAGATCAAATGTGTTGAGTGGATTTGCTCATTTCCAATGTAAATAGAGAAAATTTCTATGACAGAATCAGGCTTTCTTATCTTTAAACTAGGGCCAAATAGCTCATAATTACCTTTGTCTCTTAGGACATTTGCAGAAAATATAAAAACTATTAATATTCTCATGTAGTAGAGTGTTTGGGTACTCAACTTTAGGGCAACCATGGACTTCTTAAGATAGATGCTGCTGGCAAACATCCTACAAGAACAATTTTTTAAAAGTTTTCTATTATAAAAAAGTTAAGCACACAAAAGCAGAGAAAAGAAGCCAACAATCCCCATGACCACCATTCAGTTGGCTAACCCCTGTGACCAACATCCAGGTGGCCAATAAACACCCCTGGACCACCACCCACATGGCCAACAACCACACACAATCACCATCCAGGTCTGTTTTGGGCTCCTGGAGCAAAAACATGGCTCTGCCCTCCTCAGAGGTGGAGAAAGAAACACATGGTGTGCTCCTTCCTCTGGGACGGTATAGTAGGTCCCTACACTGCTTGTAGTACCTGAAGGTGCTGGCCTCCTGGAGCGCATCCCAGTTCACAGCCTCTCACCCCACCCACTCCTTCAGACTACAGAGCTGGTCTCTTCTTGCTTCTTTAGAAGGACGGAAAGGTGCATCTTGGATATCCACAAGAATGAGGCTGTGAAAAGGCAGAAGGGACATAATTTGGTCCACCTGTGGGCACCAATTTGGAGGCTCTGCTGTGCTGCTTGACCAGTTCCCCCAGAGAGGGAAGCCACAGGTCCTCTGGCCAGGCCAACTCTCAATCTATGTCCATAGATTCCCGCTATGCCAGCTGCATCTGCCAAGCCACAGACACCCAGAAGGGCAGCTTGCCACACTCAGCCACCTGATTCCCACTGCTCAGGAAGGGCCTGCCGGGGTAGGATGAGAAGCAGGGACATGACTCCTACCACTGCACACACTGTCCCCACTCAAGAGGCTGAGGAGGATGGGAACTCTCCTCATGTTGCGTGAGCTGCTCCCCTGGTCCCTGAGCATCCCCATGGCACCTTGCACACAGCTCCTCAGCAGTCTGGTGGTGTCCAGAACTTGTGCCTGCCAAGGGAGACAGCACGTCATCTGCTGCTGCCATGTCTAGGGTGGGTAAAAGCTACATTACACATAGGAGAAGATGTCCACATGCAGAAAGCAAAGGTGGCCAGTCTCCATGGTGAAGCTGACCTACTGACCTCCCCTGGCTAGTCCCTGTGTGCTGCCCAACCCACAGACGATCACTGGCAAGGTGGGGGCTTACAACAGGGATCTGGCCAGTGGTCAAGGGAAGGGGCAGAACTAATTAGGAGCCTTCATAAAGAAGGCAATGGCAGAGCTTTCTTCTCTCTGAGAGAGACACCCAGAGCTGAGCAGAGGAACCCTGACTGCTGGACAAGGGGGTTCATTCCACAAAGAGGGCAGAGCAGCCAGAAAAGTTGACAGGCCAGAAAAACCTCATGGGCCACGTCTCTAAGGGCATCCTGGGGGTACCCCCCGAGAGCAGTCTAGGGGAGATGCCAGGCCTGGAGACGCCTTGGCTACATCTCTAGGGATGCCTGAGGTTTCTCTCCTCAGACCAGCCTGAGGAAGATACCTGGCCTGGGGACCCTCTCGGCCATGTCTCTAGGGACACGTGGGGTTCCCTTTCCTCAGAGCAGCCTGGGGGAGACATCAGGCC